GTTGATATTACCACCAGTGACTAGCCTAACACCACATTAGGAGGACATGGTACTGCAATGGCCATAACATTGTTTGCTCAGAAATAGACTCAAGAAATTATTTGTTCAATGTGTTAAAAATTCAATATTTTAATAATAGTGAATACACAAAAATTACTATAACTCAGTACTTTGACACCAAGTACTGTGAAGTCAGTATCCTGTGAATTCAGCTGAAGAATCTTTTGAAAATTCTCTACTTGCAGGAATCATTTTTGTTGAGAAATGTCGTGTTTATATTTCTACAATTGTCCTCTATATTTTAAGAGATAAATATCATGTTTATATTTCTCTACAGGCCATCTCTCTTCCTAAACCAGAGTACAGCCTGTCTGCATCCATTCCTAGTGACATCATCACCAGCTGTAAACTGAGCAGTCTTCAACTTGAAGGGATTCTCTATGCTGTAAGTATACCACCCCATATCAACACTACCTATGGCATGTACAGTGTTGTAAACTGTTGTAGTGCATGTTGTCATTTTGAAGTTCAGAGCTGGTGTGTGTCAGCTTCATCAGTTTCAAATATCAAAATCAATTAAAATACTCATCTGATATGTAAAACAGATTTGGAACTCTTAGGAGAAATTTGAAATAGAATCTGGCATGCAGCAAATCTTAAACTTAGATTATCAACGTATGGGTTCTGAAACAGACACTTATTTTCAGTTTATATCATTTTTCACAATTATGTAAATTACAGATCAAATAAACACTGAAATGTCTTACATTAAATCTTTAAATATAAGAGGTTATGAACTTATGAATAACAAACATTTTCTGATTATTATCAAAATTGAAGTCATCTTTGTGGAAAAAAATGAATAATTAATTTATTGAAAGTTTTAATTAATTTTAAACCCCCTTAGTATAATTTACCTTGCCTCTGTTGCAGTAAAGGTAATAATGTTAACTTGTATTGACGTTGAAAACTTGTTTTCAGTGCCAGCGTCACCAGCATATTTTACCTGATGGAAGAAGAGCAGGGTTCTTCATGGGAGATGGGGCGGGTGTGGGTAAAGGAAGACAGGTAGATATCATGGGAGATGGGACAGGTGTGGGTAAAGGAAGACAGGTAGATATCATGGGAGATGGGACAGGTGTGGGTAAAGGAAGACAGGAAGATATCATGGGAGATGGGACAGGTGTGGGTAAAGGAAGACAGGTA